GTGTAAGCAGTCACTATCCAGGCGCAGCCACTAAATACTGAAACCGTATTCGCCACTTTGCTAACCAGTTGACTAATGATTATTTTGCTTTATGGCTTCTATGATTAGCAAAAATTAATCAGAGACAGTTTGAAAGTGGCGGTTTTTTGAGCCTTGTGAAATGTTACAGACGATTTTAGGAGACCCGACGTCATAACTGTGGTCTCTTGGGAGATAGGTAAAGCCCGGGATGGGCGGGGCTACTCCTAATTCTCACATTTTTACATTATCAGTTGGACTAGATTAATATCTATTCTGCTCTCCTGTCCGGCGAGCAGTTTGGCGAATGGTCAAATTTACCTTGTTTAAAGTCAGGGTTGCGTCAGAGGCATTTGAACCGAGTAGGTGACGCCAATATGAGTCTTTAAGAGATAACTACATACTTGTGCCATTTGCAATAAAATCTATCGGTCCGTGGGGCCAACGTGCGGTGAAGTTACTAAAAGAACTGTACCCATGACTGTTCAAATTCAAATTCAAATTCTTTATTTGCTAGTAAATAGGTACAAAAATATTTTGTTCTTAGTGTTATACAATGTGTTGCGAAAACCTATTTAGCTGTTTTCAACAGCATGCAAATGTCCAAAAGTTTTTATTATATAATTAGTTTCTAAACTTAATCTATACACATAACTAAAAACATCCTTTTACAAATTTTATAAATAAATTAAATAATATAAATAAATTAATTCATGCATCGACAACAGGTACGTTCGTCACTGCTGGTGATGAGAAGCCTGGTTCTTTTCTCGCTCAAAGTCTAAGTACAGCCATTTAGCGACGAAACGCAGTCAGCATTTTCGACACTTTGTAAATTTTGCAAAATTTTACTATTTTGCCAAATTTTAAAATTAAGTGGTTTTTTACGTGGTAGAGCCATGTTGCAGCTATATTAGTAGTATAGTTGTAGCACGAATGGGTCGGCTCGACCGGGGAAGGACCACGCTCTCACAGAATACCCACGTAAAATAGCAGCTTAACACTGCTGTGTTTCGTATGGTGAGTGTAGAGAGCTGGAGACCCTTTTTACTGGAAATGAGGCAATCTATCTTAGTCCTCATGGGTGACAACGCATCTGCATTTTGATTGTTTATTGAGGACAGATGTGGATGTCTATGTGTCACAGCAACCACTTACCTTCAGGTGGACTGTGTGCTCGTTTGTCACCCTATCCTATAAAAAAAATGTTTCAATATTTTTTAACGATTTCTGATCCGATCTTCTAGTAAAGATTATAACGCTTTGATTTTTGGCTCACGTAAATAGATATTTTTAGAATATCAAACCAAAATATTAAAATAAGGTATAAAATTAATAAAAGAGGTATGTAACTACATGCGAAAACGATAAATTAATTTGTAATTATTATATTGTAATTATTTCAACTTAGCCGTAGGTACAGTTTTCACATTATAACGCTGATTGAATTAGATGGCCCTAGTTTTTTTTATAAGATTATAAGAGTAACAAACAAACAAAAGGTTAACGTGATGATATGTGACTTCTGAAGCCCATACATCTACTACTAATATTAAGGCGACACCGCGAAAAAATGCACCTCGAATAGTATAGGAGTATGACACGACTAACGAAACTGGAATTTTGATATAGGTAAATTCGTGTCTTTATCTTGAGTTTGCTTGCTCAAAAACACCATTGTAAAATTATGACTCGATCATAATAATTTGCGAAAACACCTCTAAAAATTCACTATAGTTGAAATTACAACGAAATTACTTAATCTATGTGCTTGGAAACCACTCGAATACATACATAACATCAATATTCGTAATTTACTTGCTCATTATTTTGATTGCTAAAATTAAAATTTTTTTTTAAATATTTTAAGATTCTACGCGATTTCTAAGCGGTTTTAATAGTCGCGGGCGCTACGCAATTTTAGACCTTATGACGGCGTTTTTGAAGTTTTTGTAGAAATTATGTTTTACTCTGGTTAGTCCGGCGATAGCCCGCTTCAACGGTTTTCGATGTGTCGCCTTAAACATAAATGACGACAGAGTGAAGCTTTAATATCGCCCTTGTGTGTGAACACTATCTGTTCTAGAGTTAAAGCTAAAGGATGTTGTTTCATTCAAATGCTGATATGTAATTTATACTAACAGAATCTGCAACGGAACAAGCCTACAAAATATATAATACTAATGAATTATTATCCTTGAAAATCATCTACAAAATAATACGATCCAAATTTATTATTATAAGTACCTGCCCTTCATCATGGCAGTTTTATTTTCGATGACCATTAACGAGTCCTAGAGCCAGATGACGGTAACTTAATTAACGTGGATACTTAGTGCACATTTGTGCTTCTGAAAACAGAACTACAAACATTGTGTACGAAGAAATCTAAAAAATCAAGATAAAACGTGTGTGATTAATTTAGGCTTTTATTTAGTTATCTATTAAAAAATTCAACAATAAATTATACTAAGTGGCATATTATATAACTCGTAGATTGTAAACAGGTGACGGTGAAGTACAAAAAATAATTTCCGGGCGTTAGTCTCGCAAAAACTCGGAAATGGCTCGACTGATTTTGATGAACATTTGTGTGTGTGTTTGAGTGAGTCCTTCAATGATTTAGATTTAAAATTGGAACCAGTAGGTGGCGCTATTGTCGAGATCCAGAAACCACCGGTAATTATTGTAATGTACCTATTTAAACAGTTAAGCATTAAACACTTGTATTATGTTCGTCGTACTTGTATATTGCACGTGCCAACCTACCTATCAAGCGTGCAAACATTTTAGCAATGAGGTATAATCTATAAGGGAATATGCTGTAATAGTGATAAAAAAGATAATTCACCGAGCCCCACTTCTGAAAACAGGTCATATGTACGAGTTTTTCATGACAATTTTGGACTTTACATGTCTTCGATTTTTTTTTTAATTTATAGACAAACATGTTTTTTACTGTTTTCCTTCAGTGCCGAACATGTGCAGCATTTAAAGCATCAGCATTTAAAATTTCAACTAACCATTATATAATTATTCATTATTTTATTGGTGTCAGCTGGGAAATAATAGTGGCTTTGCAAGAAACATAAATAAAATTTAAAAAAAAACAGTTGTCAAATTGCGAATTGGAACCCCACACTTTTTGATTTCGCAGTCGGTTCTCCGTACCGTAATCTATGAAAATATTTGCTTGTACTTTTTATATCACATATGACACTACCATGTTTTCACAATTATTGTAAAAAATAAAGCAGACTAAAAGTAGGTAGCTGAAAGTAGGTCAGCATTTATTCAAAGCAAAATTTAGGACCAGTAAAATTAAATAGTAACGAACTTATCTTGGCACATTTTAACCATAATTACAGACTTTCTAAATAAATCTTATTATTTTTACTACTTTCTCGTTTCTTATTTTTCTCTAATGGCCCGTGGTAAATATTATTCTATAAACCCTTTTGTCGCAAACTAAGTATTTTTAGAACAAACTGTAGTGCAAATGAAATTTTTTCACGAAAATTAATTTATTTGGTATTTTAGGAATAATAAGAATATTAATAAGCCATGTAGTGGCGGTGTAAGAATAACCACTACCCATATCATCCCGTGGGTGTCGTAGGAGGCGACAGATGGAAACAAATAAGGGGACGGGCAGCAGGATCTTCCTAATAAATACTAAAAATATAAAAAAGAACTGGGGTTGCCAACCCACTTGTTAAGTCTGGCAACTATGGCAAATATCCCCCCTATGAGACAATCTATGGAGTTGAAATTAATTCCTCACGCTTCTCCAGTGACCGAAAACCTTTATAGTAGATGTATTGTAAATGTATATTATAATAGTGAGATAAATTTCAATATATTTTGCCACAGAATTTATAACTAAAACGATAATCATTTGTGCATGCCTTAAATCGTGTTAAGGCCCCAAGAGTGGGTGAAATGCCTGTATTGGATATTTAAGTTAAAAAATCAAAATAACTGTTTATTTAATCGAGAAAAAATACAGGCTGATAAAAGAGGATTTAATAAATGTTTTTAATTTAACAAAACAACTTTTTTCAATCCTTTATTAGAAAAAAAAATCCCCAAAAAGTACCTATCTTCGTCATATTTTGCAAAATTTTCTCTAAAACGGCACAAGCTCTTTAAATAGCTTTTACACTAAAAAAAGGTCTTAAAAATATTAACATTTTAACTGAGAGTTTTATTTTTATTCCCCGTTCTACTCGAGAAAATATCGTTTCTCCCCGAAATTGAAAATCTCTTAAAATGTTTTTTTTTTATAGGATAAGGGTGACAAACGAGCACACAGGCTACCTGATGGTAAGTGGTTGCTGCTACCCATAGACATCTACATCCATCCTCTATTACAAATCAAAAAGCAGATGCGAGGTCACCCGTGAGGACTAAGATGGAATGCCTCATTTCCAGTAAAAAGGGTCTCCGGTTCTCTACACTCACCATTCGAAACACAGCAGCGTTAAGCCGCTATTTTACGCTGGTATTACATGTCATCCAGATATATCTCGTACTGGATATCTTCCTAGTGTATTAGGTTCTCGTTGGATAGAGGGATGACGTTCGTAGAGATGTTAATAGTGTGTGTGTTCTTGTCGTTGTATTCATGATAATTACTTGACAGTCCTGTGTTAGGTTGATAAAAGTTGTTCCTGATAGTTTCCTATATTCTGTTTTCTGTCCGCATTGGGTTTTTATAATTTCTAGTTCCGTTAATACTACCAACCACTTATTTTCTTTAATCTCTTGCAATTTCCCTCACTTCAGATTCATGCGTGCACGAGTGCAGTTACCATCTTTATGGTTAATGAGTGATATGATGCAATCTTCAGATTTCTCTATGGCTCTAGTACCCAGTGATTCGCAGAGCCAGGTGTCTTCTGAAAACTTCTTGCAATCTTCTTCCAGATATGCGTACTCATCGCTTCCAAGTAAAAGAAAGGAAAATGTTTGTGATAGACTTACAGGTGGGCAAGATCACCAACACTTTTCTTCTGTAACAAATCACAAGGAATCAATTCAAGCCACTTCTTGAGCATTTTTTCATTGGGGGAAAATTTGTGTAAAATAGCGTCCTGTCGCGAATTTGTACCACCTGGTACACAACACTTATAATACATATCGAGAGATATAAAATACAAGTAATTGCAAAGAAAACTGCAAACTAAGGGCGGAAATAAATTAACGCAACCAAACGGAATTTTTTTATCAGTAAATCAGTAATGTCACACAGTGACACTATGATTACGGACAAAAAAGCAATATGGCTGCCACAGACTAATCATATATAAATAAATATGTAGAGACTAATTAGTAGATTCTACCCGAAATGGCTGCGATCTGCGACCGATCTCCTAGTTAGTCTGTACTTAGAAGATTCGTCTAGAATCTACTAATTAAAATGTGCTTATAAGGGATATCGAGGGCCGAGGGGGGTTTAACTGTCATATATCATTTTACTATCACATTTCCTATGTCCAATATTTTCTCTATGAAGATTACTGCCCGTGGTCCAGAGCTTGTATTGACAGGTTATAGACCGCACGTTGTTTATTACTCGCGTCTGTTGTCAATGGTTGCGTTCCGTTCTTACGTTGACATTGGAGTTGGACATTTGATTTGGTTGTTAGTTTTTGGTATTTATCTATATGTTTATTTTTGCATTCATTGTATTTAGTTGTTTCACGTTTATCTAAAGTTTCCATGCAATTCTTATAATCAAATGTCGATAAAACTGTCTGTAGATCAATGGACGATTTGTCTATGGTTTTATTTATGAAACATAGATCGGTACGTTTTTACTGAATCACCGTTATTTACAACTTTTTGCTTGTCTGATTTAAGATCTTACCGCTTCCGCGAATGTCTTTTTTAGTAGATATCTTGACACACGTAGGAATAAGATAATGGTCTCTGCATCTCTTCAAGAAGTTTAAAGATGCTACGTATCTTGCTCGCTTGGTCTTGAGACCCTCAAGTCGGCGTATTTTATTTGCTATTTCCAGTCCGTACTGGTTTAAATAATATTTTCTTATATTTACGCGACATTACACATTGAATAAAACTAATTTTTACGGATTTAATTAACTTATTTTATATTCCCGACGTTTCGGTTGCTTTCCAGCAACCATGGTCACGGGGGACTGAGGTGACTGACGTCCCAATGTCAGAGTTAACTCGGAGTACCTTCAGCTTTTTAATTATTAATATATATATATTTTGGTCCGATCTACGCAGAATGAACTTACTGTGTCTTGAAGTCTCGCAGTGGTATGCTTGGGTTTAGTTTTAATTTTATGAATTACAGGATCCCAAGCAAATGGTAATACCCAGCTTCCCTCTCTATTGAAATTAGGATGTTTTTTAATTTCAATAGCCTCACGTATCATCCTTGGCAGGAAATCTAATGTAATGGTGGGGGCCGTCTAGGATATGATCACAAACTGCAGACTTCCCAGAACGTTGGTGCTTCACATCAGCTATGTGTTCTTTTACGCGGGTTTTTATTGGTCGTTTTGTTTGCCCCATATACGAGAGACCACACTCACAATCAAGTTTGTACACTCCTGCATATTGTAGAGGAATATTGCACTTGACGGATGGTAAGAACTGATTAATCTTCTTCGGCGGCTTGCAGAATGTTCTAACAGAAGCTCGCTTCAAGATGTAGCCAATCTTATCTGTGACACCTCTGACATATGGTATGTGTAATGTTTGCGTAAATATAAGAAATCATTGTCTATCTCTTCTTCTAGCTCCAGGATCTTCTCGTCAGTCCTCAGGGTGCGTGCATTATAAGTTGCCAGGTCGAGTCGTCGTAGGCAGCAACCGAACCGGACTGAAAACGCTTGAACTAACTTTGTGCTACTCTTCTGACACTGCATTAGGTCCATAAACGTCGCAATTTTTTGTATCATTTTTCCCTTTCTTATGATTAAGCTTCAGAATTTATCGAATTTCTTTGTTAGAAACACTCATTATGGCGGACAGAAAAACAATTGAAAAATGGCGGAAAAGTATTTTTACTTTTATTTTTATTTTTTTAATATCAGTTATATATTGATATTAAAATCAGCCAGATACAAACAGTACAAACAAAGAGATTGTACTTCAATTTTATACAAACATAATTTAGAATTAAAAATTTTGTACAACCGACTTTAATTTAAATTATTAAGAATAACCCAAAAACCATCGTTCAATCCTTGATCTAATTTATATGGAACTAAAAAAAGCAGCAGCTTTTAAATTAAAAAAGAATCGTCGAAATCGGTGTACCTAAAAAAAGTTATGAGGTAACACACATAAAAAAATACATACTGTCGAATTGAGTACCTCCTCTTTTTTAAGTCGACAGAAAATACGAAGAAACTTTTTCCCCGACTTATAAAGAAGATACTTATCTTTATATTATATATTTTGACCGATTCAAACATAACGGTTCCTATCATAACGGTTCTACGATTATATAAAATATAATAACGACTAAAGAGTCGCATTAAGTTCTAGTTTATGTTTCGTTGTAAATAAATACATTCAAATAGCTAAACAGTTACTTAAAAATGTTAAGCTTAGTTACTTAATTAATTCTTAAGATATATATAATTCTTAAGATACTGTTGTCACACCACTGGGAGAGGCCGCTGATCCCTAAGATACAGACTTGTCTAGTTTGGGGATCAGAGTCTTCACTTTATTATTGTACTTTTATTTAAATAAATGATTATTATTATTATTATTATTACATTATCACATATATATTGTCACAAAACTATAATATTATTAATATAAATACAATCTATATAAATAATATTATTATTTCGGCTATTATCCACCGCGGCGAGGAATCCTAAGCCATCGGTGAAATTAGGCATCCAAAGATAGGAACCTTCTCACTATTCGAGCCGTATTTAATAAGGCCGATTTTTGAATTAATCCCTTCAGCCATTTGCCCAAACCCAACTTGGATAGATAGTCGTCCATAGTTTTACCAATAAGCCCATTGACTGAAACAACTATTGGTACAATAATAGTAGAATCAACGTCCCACATAGCGACAATCTCATGAGCCAAGTCGATATATTTTATCTTTTTATCATTCTCTGCTTTCACGAGATTCTCGTCATGAGGAACACTGATATCCACTATTATTGCCTTGCGTGCAGTTCGGTCTATCACCACAATGTCAGGTTTATTTGCCACTATAAACCTGTCTGTGATAATTGACCGATCCCAGTACAGCGTGACACTTCTATTTTCAAGGACTGGTTTTGGTTCATACTTATAATATGGAACGTCCTGTTGAGTAAAACCAAATTTAATCGCAAGCTGCTGGTGTATTATTCTAGCTACTTGGTTATGTCTGTGCAAATACTCGCCATTTGATAGTTGTGAACAACCGGAAATAACATGTCTGAGGGACTCTCCAGGGTGGTGACATGCGCGACATACGTCAACTGTGCCATCCCTCAAAATGTACTTCCGGTAGTTATTCGTTTTAATTACTTCGTCTTGTATTGCACAGATAAACCCTTCAGTTTCTGCAAAAAGGTCACCAAACTGTAACCAATGTACTGATGCAACCATGTCTACACAAGGATTAGTCAATGTTTTAAAAAATCGACCATGCAGTTGTTTGTCATTCCAAACCTTTTTGCGTTCATCTATAGTCATAGTATGAGGCCTCTGCCAGTCCTTTGCCGACATATTAAGCGGGGTTAATGATTTGTCATTAATCACTACGTCACTATGAATGCGTGATGTGTCTTTTTTTTTAATAAAATAGTCTCTGAGGTTGTATACTTCACGGTTGTGTAGGTTTTTAATGTTTAATAAGCCCCGTCCACCATCTTTTCTTGGAAGATACAACCTCATAACAGATGATCGCGGGTGGTGCATTCTGTGCGTAGTCATTAATGTGCGGACTCGTCTATCTAAGTCATCCAATTCCGTTTGAGACCATCTTGTAATACCAAAAGTATATAGAAGGCTAGGTATTACCCAGGAGTTATATGCTCTAATTTTGTTTCCGCCAGATAAATGACTTTTGATAACTTTTTTTAATCTTGACATAAATTTTACTTTTGAATTTTCTTTAATGTTTTTGTCATTAATTCCTAGCGCTTCTGCCATGCCCAAGTATTTATAGGTTTCTGTCTCAGAAAGAGAACTGAAATGTAAGTCATCTGTAATTGCAAAATTATTACAATCTTTAATTTTGCCCCTATTTACGTTAATGACAGCACATTTATCTATTCCAAATTCCATTCTAATATCATTGTTGAAACTATGTGTTAATTTCAACAATAATAATAGATCACTCTCTTTTGATGTGAATAGCTTGAGATCATCCATGTAAAGTAGATGTGAGATGGGTGAGTTTTCTTTTCGAAACCGAAATCCTAATCCAGATTCCTCAATAACAGTGCTTAAAGGATTCAGGGCTAAACAAAACCAAGTTGGGCTCAAACTATCGCCCTGGAATATACCCCGCTTAATATTTATAGAGTCTATCGAACTACTTTGCCACTTACCTGGTAGATTTAGGATAGTGTTCCACTGACCCATTAATTTACTTAAAAACTTACAAATTTTGTCATCTATTTTATATATTTCTAAAACTCTCTTTAGCCATGAATGTGGAACAGAGTCATATGCCTTTTTGTAATCCACCCAAGCAGCGGACATATTTTTGCGATTACGAAAAACTTGTCGGCAAATAGCTGTGTCAATGAGAAGAAGTTCTTTACAACCACGTGACCCTTTCCGACATCCGTTCTGTGCGGTTGACAGAATGTTATTATTTTCCAAATGTTTATAGATCTTGTTATTTAAAATTGCAGTTATTAATTTGTATACAGTTGAAAGGCATGTTATAGGTCGATAATTTTTAGGTTCCGTGGTGTTTCCATTTTTATATAGTAAGTGGGTAATACCAGTTGTAAGAAGTCTCGGGAGCTCACAGCACTCAATGGCTTCTTGAATCTGTGCAGCCAAACGCACATGGCTACTTGTTATCCATTTCAGCCAAAAGTTGTGTATACCATCTGGTCCAGGTGATTTCCAATTGTGTAATCTACGAGTAATTGAGTATACATCTACAGCAGTAATTGAGATAGAACCCATGTTAGCCAAATTAGAAAACTTACGTTCGGTTGCACGAATCCATTCGCCTTCATTATGAGAAACTTCATTAGACCACATATTTTTCCAAAAATTTAGACATTCAATTAAGCTTGGGCTACCATGAGTACAACTATTAGTTGTAGTGCTCTCCCAAGACCGATACACCCACTTTTGATTACTTTCGAATGTGCGATTTTGGAAGTACCGTTTAGACCTTTCTGAATATCGTCTAATACGGTTGGCCCATGCTTTTAACTTTTGTTTTTGCGTATCAATGTACTCAGTAATTTTATCCGGAAAATGGGGATCTAAATGGCTAATATTATTTTCATTAGAGATTTGATTTACTAAAGTAATTATTTTTTTACGCCTGTTACCTGTTTGGTAGCTTATTAATTTTCCTATAATTTTGCGAGTATTGTCAATTCGTTTTTGAATTCTTTGTTTCCATTTAGGTTCTGTATTATTTTTCTTAAAATTTTGTACTGAAATGATAGGAATTTTCATTATCATACATACAGCATGGGCACAACAGTATAGAAGAGACATAGTTTCCAAAATAGAATTACTTTTTTCAAAATAATCTTTACATAAAACATTCATTGATGCTACTGTTAATATAGTTTTTTTGTTGTTAGGCAGTTTAGGTAGTTTCGGTCTATTTTCTATAGGTGTATTTTTATATTCCAAAAGAGAACATTCGAAAGTCCTTCTTATATATTCGCTGTCCTGGGAACTCACATCTATATCAAAACAATTTTGCTCTACTTTTTCGTTGTTTAAGTTAGTAATATTTATATTATGCTTACTGTTATTAACATTTAAGTCATCAGACTCACCTGGAAGTGTTCGTTGGGAATCAGGAATTGAATTGATAGAAGATGTTGAGTACTCACTGCAAAGTTGTTCAAGTAATCTGTCATCCAAAATCTTACGACTTAGAATGACACGTACTTGATCTGAAAGTCTTTGGGCAGTTAAGTTTGTTAGGTTGGGCTGTAGCTGTTGGAATTCAGATAGCATTTTAGGGCGATAAGATGTAAGATTGGTTCCTCCTTTGGTAGCCTTATAGTACGCGCGCATAACACTTATATTTAATTCTTTAGTCCAGCGCATGCGTCGTCGCACTACACCACCGGTAGCGGGGTCCTCTTGTAGGATGGTAATTCCTGCAGGTCCCAAGCCAGCCGGTTATTATTATTATTATTATTATTATCTCTTCCCTTCTGTCACTCAGGAATCATTTTCGCTACAACTATATTAGCGCAGTAACATGAATGAATCGCCTTCACCGGGAAGGACTACGCTCTCACAGAATGTCCGCGTAAAATAGAAGCATAATGCTGCTGTATTTCATATAGTGAGGGTAAAGAACCGGAGACCCTTTTTACACGTACCAAAACATTCAAATTTTAAAGTAGTATGTATTATTTGAAGATAAATTTAGGAGATAAATTTAGATAAATTTTGCCGTGTAGTGGCGGTCAAGAATACCACTACCCCATATCCTCCCGTGGGTGTCGTAAAAGGCGACAAAGGGAAACAGGCAGGAGATGGGCAGCAGCATCTTCCTGATAATAGCCAGACAATAAAAAAACTGCGGTTGCCAACCCGCTCGCCAAGCGTGGCAACTATGGCAAATACCCCTCTATGAATGTAACAAAGAGACGGCCCCCAGTCCCCGGCGGCCCCGCTATTCCTGGCTACGGTGGCGACCATGGTAACGGCGGGGCAGGGGGTGCTAAGAATCTCCGGTGGAGGTTCGGTTGCCACCTTAGACGATTCGACCTGGCAACGTACAACGCACGCACCCTGAGGACTGACGAGAAGATCGTGGAGCTGGAAGAAGAGATAGACAAGTTGCGCTGGCATATTATAGGATTATCCGAAGTCCGAAGAGAGGGGGAGGACACGGTGATCCTCGAATCCGGCAACTTGCTCTATCACCGGGAGGGCGACCATCTGTCCCAAGGAGGTGTCGGATTTATCGTCCACAAGTGTCTCGTTAACAACGTTGTAAAGATCGGGAGTGTGTCGACGAGGGTTGCGTACCTTATACTCAGAATCACCAAACGGTATTCGCTGAAGGTCATACAGGTTTACGCACCAACCTCGGCACACCCCGATGGGGAGGTGGAGGAAATGTATGAGGATATCTCTAGAGCCATGCATTCCTCCAAAACCCAATATACGGTGTTAATGGGAGACTTCAATGCAAAACTAGGCACAAGAGAGAACGGTGAGCTGAAAGTGGGGAAATTTGGAATAGGGCAACGGAACCCAAGGGGCCAGCAGCTGGCCGACTTCATGGAGAAAGAGGGACTCTGGATGATGAACTCTTTCTTCCAGAAGCGGCCCCACAGGAAGTGGACCTGGTCGAGCCCCGACGGTTCGACAAAAAATGAGATTGACTTCATTATGACGACCAGACGACAACTGTTCAGTGATGTCTCCGTGATCGCGAGGGTGAAAACTGGTAGCGATCACCGAATGGTTAGAGGCACACTGAACCTAAACGTTAAGTTGGAGAGGTCTCGTCTAATGAAGTCAACGCTCCGTCCCCCTCGTGCTCTGTTCCAAGGTCCCGAGACCTTTCAGCTCGAATTACAAAACCGTTTTCAGTGCCTAGAAGACTGCAATGAAGTGGACGATATGAATGACAAGCTCGTGGAAACTGTCCATGCGGTCGGAGCTAAGTTCTGCAAGACCCGCCGCAGAAGAACACAAAAACTCTCCGATCACACTCTTAATCTCATGGCTGTTAGACGGGAGATGAAGCTACATTCTTCAACAGACTTGACAGCATACAGGCATCTGAACAGACAGATCTCCAAATGCATGCGGCGGGACTTACGCAACTTCAATACAGCTCGTATTGAAGAAGCGATCGAGCGGAACCAAGGCTCCAAAGTCTTTGCCAGAGATCTGTCTGCCAGAAAGAGCCACCTGTCAAAGCTGAAGACAGAGTGTGGCAGCATCGTTTCCGGGACACCTGAGATTTTGAGTGAGATTAAGAGGTTCTATGGGCAGCTGTACACGTCATCGTTGGAGCCACACGCAAGTGTGAGTAACGATCCAAGAGCGAGTCTCATCCGACACTATTCCGAAGATATCCCGGACGTCAGTCTGAGCGAGATTAGAATGGCTCTCCAGCACCTTAAAAACGGTAAGGCCCCAGGCGAGGATGGAATTACAGCGGAGCTTCTGAAAGCGGGTGGAAGACCGGTACTTGAAGTCCTTCAGAAGCTCTTTAATTCCGTCCTCCATGGTGGCATTACACCGGAGGCGTGGAGCAGAAGTGCGGTGGTCTTGTTCTTCAAGAAAGGTGACAACGCTCTCTTGAAGAACTACAGACCGATTTCCCTTCTGAGCCGCGTCTACGTGCTGTTTTCGAGAGTCATTACGAATCGTCTCGCGCGCAGACTTGACGACTTCCAGCCTCCCGAACAAGCCGGTTTCCGAAAGGGCTTTAGCACCATAGATCACATACATACCCTTCGGCAAATTGTACAGAAGTCCGAAGAGTACAATTTGCCACTATGTCTGGCGTATGTGGACTATGAGAAAGCCTTTGATTCCATCGAAATTTGGGCGGTGTTGCAGTCCCTTCAGCGGTGCCAAGTTGACTGTCGGTATATCGAAGTGTTGAAGTGCTTGTACAGTAGGGCTACGATGGCTATCCGAGTACAGAACCAGAGTACGAAACCTATCCAATTGCAGAGAGGTGTAAGACAGGGTGACGTCATATCCCCGAAACTCTTCACCGCTGCATTGGAAGACGTTTTCAAGCTTCTGGACTGGAAAGGATACGGTATCAACATCAATGGCGAGTACATCACTCACCTTCGATTTGCCGACGATATAGTCCTTATGGCAGAATCGCTGGAGGACCTAAGCACTATGCTCAATGACCTAGATAGTGTTTCCCAACGGATAGGTCTTAAGATGAACATGGACAAAATAAAGATCATGTTCAATGTCCATGTCACACCTATGCCGGTAGTTGTTGGGAACACTAAGCTCGAAGTTGTTGACGAGTATGTTTACCTGGGACAAATAGTCCGACTAGGTAAGTCCAACTTCGACCGAGAGGTCAATCGACGGATTCAACTCGGCTGGGCAGCGTTCGGGAAGCTACGACACATCTTCTTGTCAGACATACCTCAAAACCTGAAAACGAAATTGTACAACCAGTGCGTGTTGCCAGTGATGACTTATGGAACTGAGACGTGGTCCTTCACTGCTGGCCGTATGAGGAAGCTCAAGGTCGCTCAGCGAGCTATGGAGAGGGCTATGCTCGGAGTTTCTCTGCGTGATAAACTTAGGAATGAGGATATCCGCAGTAGAACCAGAGTAACCGACATAGCCCAACGGATTAGTAAGCTGAAGTGGCAGTGGGCCGGCCATATAGCTCGAAGAACCGACAACCGATGGGGAAGAAAGGTTCTCGAGTGGCAGCCTCGTACCGGTAGGCGAAGTGTAGGGCGTCCCCCCACGAGATGGAGTGACGACCTGGTAAGACATGCAGGAAGTCGATGGATGCAGGTGGCTCAGGACCGTGCTTTGTGGCATTCTTTGGGGGAGGCCTATGTTCAGCAGTGGACTTGTGAAGGGCTGTAATGATGATGATGATGAAATTTAGGAGTTTATGAGCCACTTACCATAAGGCAGATTGTACGCTCATTTGTCACCCTTACTAAACAAAATCTCACACGTCAAACTCTATTTTTATTTCGTCCTTAAAACAGTAATATAAATAAAATAATAAAATTAAAACTAAATACATACTGAAGAGCAAAAATAGTTGTATAAATATTATCTAATACATTAAATTTACCATAGTCACTGAATGACAAAATATTCGGTTTTCAAAGTCCACTCGTTTCACAGTATAGCAACTAAATAGCTAATACTCTATCGAACACACCATCTAAATTGCGTTGTCTGATGCATGTAGTACTGTTTTGAAACATCATGTCTAGTGTGTAAGCAAGTAAGTAGCTTCAAACACGTGACGGTTACATAGCCCTATAAATGCGAAAGTTAACGTGTACCTGTCGCTTTTCTTTAAACCATTTTCACCGTATTTCGTGATGCAATATACACAATACGAATGTTTAAACGGAATTGTACTCGTATAAAGGACATTGAAGCACTATTGCAATCATAACTGAGAGCCGGAACAAACGTTACGTAACCATAAAAGACAACTCAGATGCACGTGGTCTTACTAATATAGCTGGTATACTATCTAGCTTTATTAATTTTCAGACCAAGATATTTTCTGTTTCTTTAGTTTAACGCGATGAAATGGTCTAAAACCAACTAATTCGTGTTAACTTTTCATTTTCTGCCGACTTCCAAAATGGAGACGATACTCAATTCGACTGTATGTTTTTTTTATGTTTGTTACCTCATAACTTTTTACTGGGTGAACCGATTTCGATAATTCTTTTTTTATTTGAAAGCTGGTACTTCTAGTGTCGTCCCATATGTATTTGATCAAGATCAGAGCAATAGTTTTTGAGTTATTCTTAATAACTTATATTGAAGTCGTCTGTACAAAATTTTTAATTTTATATTATTATAACTTCCTTTGGTTCCGTTGGTACAGATATGCCTAGTGTGGGGACAGTTGATTTGTAAATGTTTTAGTAAAATAAATATTTTTTCCTTTTTTTTTTAATTTTTGGCCAAATTAAAAATTAAAGACGATCAACAATCAGGGTTCGCTTTTAACGCTTTTTTTAAAAGCGACGTCTTTTCCATTATACAAAATTTACATAGTGATATTGCGTATATATGATACCGAAAAACCTAAATAAAATGTAAGTACAATTTCACAAGAATTTAACCTATTTAAGTATAAAGTTTTCGTCGTGTTTGTGCTTTTATTTTTAAAATTTCATAATATTTTAAAAGGACGCGTTCAAATAAGAAGTAAGAGTGAGAGTATAGGACGCCCAAGGTAGAAATTTATCGACCAAACTTACGACATACGAGTATTAAAGATGCGCCAATGCAAGTGTAACCTTAACCGAATACCATATATGCGTAGATATATGGATATGAAAGAAGCGAGAGAGGTATGTCAGCATTGTGCCAAATGGAAGTTT